AGGAGCGGAGAACAGCGCGAAGGTTCTTGGCGCTCCAGGAAGCCCCGAAAGCAGCTGGGAGATCTTTTTCCACATATAAAGCGCCCCGGGTTATAAGCCGCACTGCCAGTTTTGGATCAAATTTTAGGATTTTCAGTGCGGCTTATAGTCGTGAAAATACGGTACTTGTACATATTCAAGGAAGTCTAGTTCTTACGTACTTATCAGTTCAAACTTCAAACAGTACTTATCTCAATATTAAGATACAAGCTGTCATTATTACTTATAGTTAGTTGAAGATGCTATCAAATAATAGTATTTTCTGAAGATTAAATATAACTAACCCTTAATTCTGTCTTCATAGGACTTAATATGCATCTATATTGAAATCACAATGTAATATAATGGATTGAATTCTAACATTTTTAACCTGCAATTAAGCATCACTGAAAATTTAAAAAAAAAACTTGATCACATTAGAAGATGGATCCGTCCAAATATGTTAGATAGAGGTCACGTAACATAAGATATAATGAAGTATATTTGGATTCTCAGATTTTTCTTGACTTTCTTGATTACTGGTGAGTGTGTGTGTGTGTGTGTGTGTGTGGTGTGCATGCGCACATACGCACATACACACATGTACTTGTTCGTTCTCTGCGTGCTCTCTTTCTCTGTGTGTATGTATATCCCAACCCTTAAGTGAATTTGTGTATGCACATCTGTGTGAGTGTGTGAGAGGTGTACATACACACACACATATATCAATCTTTATGTGAACTTGGTGCCAATTTTAAATTAGTTAGTTTTATGAATGGAAAAGGATATGCAAAAATTATGAATTTAATCCTGAATAACCATCACTATTTGAATGCAAAATACCAGACAAATTTCAACTTTTGGAAATAGGCTTCCCAGACAGCTCCTAGAAGTTGGAAGTTCCTCTAGAAAGAAATACACCAACATTAACGGTGCTGCAGCTAGAACAAACAAAGATAGACAATTAGCAAATATTTAGTAAATTAGCACAGAAGAAGTTCCATGCAGTGCAAAGGGCTATCTGAATTCAAATTAATACAGATACTGGCATTATGGGATTAAAGAATAATGCTTTTATAAAAAAAATAAGCTATCCAATCCACAGAATGAAAGAAACAAAACCTGCAATACGAGGAAGGACACTCTACCCATTTGACTTCCATTTACAGGTCACCTGTTTGACAGTTGTCCTGTTACGCTACCGACCTAGGCAATCCTTTTAACCCAAGGGTCCTATTACAACTGCTAAGAAAGAACATGAGAAGGCCCCTCTCATTTACAGGAAGAGAACAGGAATGCATTAGTACATGCTTACCTTGTTCCCACTCCTGTCTTGGCATCTTCCCCAAAATAAAGTTTTGGGGGTGGGGATGGGGGGGTTTCACAACCCAAAAAGGTTGCCATCACAATATAGGCATTTTGAAGATCTTAGAAGATACTAGAAGAGAGGGCACTAGAAGAATTGGGGCAGCTGGGGAGAAAGCGCATGCCAGATAATTAACTAGTAGGAAATAACCCACATAATCTTACAAACTAAGCTTTTCCTGGAAATGTGCTCTCATTTCGATACTAAATTAGAAAACAAGCATGTAGCTGGAAACCTTACATTTGCCAGAAGACTTCTCAAATTTGGAACTTATGGTCTCCTGTCACTAATTGTACTAAAATTGGTCATAATGACTGGGACTAATAGGAACTTCTAATTCAAGATAAAGAGATCTTAATCCCTGATATAAAGGATGCATAATTCTCCAATCTAAATACTTCAACCAAATACTAACAGAATATAGGCTAAAATCAGACCCATCTTTCTTGAAAAGTATTTTTTTAGTAGAGTAGTCTTGTACATTTGGCATTTCCCTCTGGGAGAATTATACATATCCTAAGATGATATGTAATTTATTATCTCTAATAACAATAATGCAGTGACTTCAAATTAATAGCCAGCAGGGTATGAGTTATCAAAGTTATTTTTCAAGAATTCATTTGCCCACATTTCACTCTATTTATTAGCACTGAGTATTCTTACAAGGGAGCATATAATGCCTGTGAGGCATAAGGAATTTACATGAACAATTCTCATTAGTGTTAATGGCTGTTCAATACCTACATAAATCCTCTGTGATAGAAGCATGAGAGAGTCAGTGATAAAAATAAGCAGGAAAGATATTACCCTTGGCAGGCAATATATTGTCAGAAACCAGTATATCCCAAACTGCATGTGTGTTTTACTTGACATCTAAAGAAGGCTTTCGGAAGAGGAATAAACAGTGAGAATGCTTTGTCTGAGCATGACATGTACATTAACAAATTATAAAAGAAATTTGGATATTTCTATTTTAATTTAGTTAATAGATAGAGAATGATGCAGCAACCCACTTCCTGAAAAAATACTTTCATTAGTTACATTCTTATTTATATATACACGGTACTTTTTCTTTTCATCCTTTCCTCCCAAGCTCTACAATTCAAAATTCTTCAGAACAGAATATCTGGTCTCCTTTATCCAACCCATTCCTTCTCAATAATTTCTCTTAAAGGTTGTTGGATAGAGTATCATCTTAGTCATGTTGCATTAGATGTCCTAATTTACAGATTGCAATGGGACGAAAAACACCTAAATAATTCAAAATCAACTGTATCAACGTGTGTTCTTTGAGCATTCGCCATTGGCAAAGCAGATGGATTCTTTTTCACATTTAATTGTGTTGATACCTTATCTGTCCCATCGAAAGTGGAGAATGGTATGTGAAACCACATGTACCCAAGAACAAATAAAGACAGTTCCTATTTAAAGCCAGAGTATGCCATTTAGACAATATTACTCTAGCACAACACTAAAAAAGAAACAAAAGAAGAGAAAAAAAGACCAAACTTCTTATTATTTACTTTTGTAATAGTTGTCTATTACTATGTCAAACATGAAAGAGTTTAGTTCAAAGATAGGTTGTTCAAGAAGATCTGAAAAGATTTAATAACTAGCACCACAAAGAACTTTTGAATGCCACCTGGATACAAAGGAGGTCATTGTAATCACATCCTCTATGATAATACACGAAACAGCTCTTTGCTCAAAATTCAAAGGCATTTAAACCAACATAAATGTTTGAAACATATTGCCTTGTTATCCAACATGATGAAAAGAGAAGTATCTATACCAGCATATTATATTCAGCCTTAAGGAAAAATGGGTCGGTGGCAAACAAATCTAACAAATAAATAAATGTTGCAGAAAATTGGAAAGAAATCTACTATAAACCACTATTTTCTCAAAAGGAAAACGCCTTAGTTTAGTATAGTGTGTATCTTTTAAAATCATGAGAATACATAGCATTGCCTGGTTATATGCAT